AGGGGGGGGTTCCCCCTGGTTTGCGGGGGTTCCCCGGGTTTGGAATCGTCGGGGAGGGCGCGTAACTCCGCCTCGATCTCCGCCCGCTCACGGTCGAGGCGTTGGAGGAGATTTTCCAGCGATTCGTAACCCCGCCGGACCGCCCGGGTGCTGCGGCGGATGACGGCGTACTTCCGCACGAGCTGCGCGACATGGCGGGTGAGAAGACGACGTTGAAACCCACTCAGGGGTTCGGGGTAATCCGCGTAGAGCTCCCGCGCGTCGGAATCCTCCGCGCATTCCATTTCGCCCGATCGAATCACCGGAAAAGGCTCCATAGAGGTCTATATTGAAGCCTATATATGTATATATATATATCTATATATAGCTATATGGATTGATATATGTATCCACGTCACGTCTAAAAAAAAAATAAAAAGCCACCACCCCAAAAAACTTGTGAAGGGGTTGAAACCACCCCACCAATGGAAAAGATGAATGAAACTCGTAAAATCACATTCTTCTTCCCCCCTCCTCCCCTCCTCAAAAAAGAAAGAAACATGTCGGATGGAGATTGGGACCCAGAATAAGCGAGAGGATTCTGTTATGGTGTAGTTGCTGTTCATCCGATGAACCAGTTGAGCCTTAGGGAGAGGTGATACGATAAAGGCATCAGGCATCACCACAAGACGCCAGATAGGTTAGGAGCAAACACGTTTTCGATTTTCTCCTTTTTCTTCTGGAAATCATAACGCTACAAACACAGTAACAAAATGCATACATTAGCACTTCTATTATTTTTTTCCTCTCCTATTTCTTCACTAAGAGATAAGGAAGTTAATTCAAATATGAGGTCGCATATTCATTCTATCAATTCAGAGATTATTTGTGTCTTTCAACACTACACAGTACTTTTAATTTTATTTTCTGTTAGAAGGGGCATGGAATATTTGACTCTGCTATCTTTTTCCCAAAAGCATCTTCTTCAAGAGAGAGAATGACTCTTCTATGATTGATCGACTCCAGTTTTCCCATTTCGGCGTATCCTGCTTTTTATTCTTTATTTCCATGGACTCGCATAAAATAACACTGTGTGACTCTCTCTCTAAATATATTTTTATAGATGTATATGGGTGTATCGCATACATAACTTTTCCACCCAAAGAAACCTTTGGGTACCCTCCACGGATTTCCGCACACGTTCGAGATTGACGGAAAATATCTGAGCAAAAAGAAAAATATCACATAAGAATCTCAAATCCTGAAAACCCACCAAGAATCAACAACAAAAGTGCTTTAGCGAATGTGGATGGGGTTAAAAAACCACAAAATGATTTCAGTGTTTCGTGTATTCCCGCTTTCCTCCCTCAGTATTACTTATCCAAAATATTAACCAAGTTCATATATGAACAGTGAACAAACAAAAAAATATATAAATGGATATAAGGTAAAAAAAAAGCCAAGAAAAAGAACAACAACAACCCAAAACAAAAGGGAGGAGGGGTTCCTCCGGGAGCACGCGATTGCAAAGAAAGAGCTTAGCTCCACGCTACGATTTCCGCGTCTCGACGATACCAGCCAAAGTGGATGCGCGTATGGTGTTGTTATCCTCGCACGCTTGGATTGCGTGAAGGGGGAACACCGTAGACTTAAAAACGTATCCCCGGCCTGCCCCCCTTTTCCCCACTCCCTGAGACGAAGCAAACGAACAAACCAAAAACAAAAAGAACCCCCCAGGATGGTTGAAAACGACCCTTAGATCCTCACGAATATACATTCGATCCTTTCAGATGAGAAATTTACCCTTTTTACCACCTTGAGTTTTTTTTTTTAGATCGTTTCCTTTAATTTTGTTTGGTGTGCATACAGGATGGTCGATTGATTAGGAGGCGCGCATTCGGGCGTGATGGGAATCCGACTCGTCATCGTCATCCCGATACCACTCGTTTGTATCGGAGTCGTACCACATTTCATTATTCGGATCGTAGAATTGACGACTTGGAGGGTGGTAGAAGAGGTTTTCCATCGCGGAGTAATAATACGGCGTTCCTTCCGCCCGAATCCACGTTCCTTTCGGCAGGGCGATCACCTTACCGTCTTCGTCGACCTCGGTGGCGGCGGAAATCGGCCGCGTGGGCTCGCGAGAAGGCGCGGAAATTCCCGCGCCCGTTGGGGATTCATTCGGAGGGAAATACGCGGCGGAGGCGCGACCTTCCGGGGCGGAGAATCCGGTGGTTTCCGCGGGCGCAACGCCCATCTCGGCGGCGTTGGAGGGCCGCACCTCCGAGGGATTGGAGGCCCCGGCCACGGGGGTCTCCTCGCGTCGTTCGGCCGCCGCGTTCCCCTCGTGATTCTTCGACTTTGGCGCCTGCTTCGATGATTTACAGCCCATAATCGCTTTTTTTTCTTTTTGATGATCGGTTTCCCCTTTTTTTCCGTTTAGTCAGTCGCCTGTTTGTGTGTGTGGATATATTCTGTGTGTGTTTTCTTCCTAGTCTTTGATAGTTTGTTGGTAAATGTATCCGGCCTCTGTGGTCGAGTCCTGTCGTGAAAGTGTAGAAAAAATCAACAACAACCCCAGATGTATAGGTAATAATAAGTAAATAATAATACTACTACTAATAACAAGAAAAATCCAACAAGATACTTCCAGTGAGAAGAAGAAAGAAGAATAAGAAAAAGGAGGAAGAAGATCCTACCACAGCCTTCATCCCGGTTAACATAAGACACTTCCTTCCCATCCAGGTTATCATCTGGATCCCTCGGTCGGGTAGGGCGTGCGAAGACGTCGATCCTCCCAGGCATCCTAAATCCAATCCAACCGCTTGCAATTTTTCCATAATTCGATCCGCGCCAACCCCCTTCTCTCCAAGCTTATTTCATTCCCCCTCCCCTCCTCCGTTTCGTTTTCGACCGCATTTTCATTTCAAAGCGATGGAAAGCAGCTCATCATACATCCCTTTACGCAGCGGATCCACCCGCACGAGCTGCGCGTGGAGCCGGGTGAAGCACCTTTGCAACCCCTCCGCGGCCGCCGCATCCGTTTCCGCCCCCGCCTCGCCGTCGACGAGGGCGGGGGAAGAAAAGACCGCTCGCGAAAGACGCGCGAGGTAACCCCGCAGCCGCGTCGCGATCGTCTCGGAACCGGCCGCGGACGAAAGTCGCGCGAGGTGGGAAAGTAAGAAGTGATAGGGCAGGCAGCAGGCGTCGGCCTCGCCAAGCCGGCGTTCCTCCAGGAGGAGGTCGATCGCGGCGTGGGTGAGGCCGTCGAGGGGATCCGCCGCGGCGGCTCGCCGCGAGGTCGCGCGGAGGGCGGGCTCGTAACGGTGAAACACCCCCCCGACAAAGGCCGCGTAAAACCACGCCGCCTGATCGTTCGGATCGCAGTAGATCGCCTGCACGAGGAGGTCGAAATCGCGCGAGAGGTGGTCGAGCAGCTCGCGGGCGACCCCGTCCGGGATCGCCCGCGGCGCGGATGAAAACGACGACGACGACGACGGCCGGGGAAGCCAGGATGGGTAGGGTGGCATCGGATCCGAATCGCCCGTGGGCGCCCGCGATCGCGCCCCATCCATCGCGCGGGATCGATCCCGCGCGGCCGGGGAAAGCCCTCCCGCGCGATCCTGACGACGCAGCGCGGCCTGCAGGGTGATCGCGCGTTGATGCCAGGCGCTGTAATTCGAAAAGTTTCGCCCGATCACGGCGGCGGTAAACCGCATCTCGGCCGCCTCGGCGGGGGCGAAAAGCCCCCCCTCGGTTTCCTCGGTTGAGGGGGGCGGGCACTTCGCGAGCACCCACCGGCGGTGATTCCACGCGTGAAAGTTTCGCTCATCCAGGCGAAGCAGCTTCTCACACTCCGCCTTTTCCTTCTCCAGGGCGTGAACGAGAAAGCGGGCGTACGGCCCGTCCCCACAAGGGAAGGGAAGGGGGGCGCTCGAGGGGGTGGAAGTTTTCGGTTCCTCCCTTGCCTTCTCCGGAAGGGGGGGTTCCCCCTCACGGATCGTTTCTCCGGCGAGATTTTCTTCCAAGGGGATCTCCCCTCCCGATGGATGATCGTTGGCGGTCTGGCGTCCCCCTGCGGAGGCCGCCTCCTCGGTGGCAAACCCCACCAGACGATCAAAAATCCAATGTCGATGCACAAAAGCCGCGTAGATTTTGTAATCCTTTCGCAAAATCGCGCTATTAAGAATTAATTCCTCGCGAAGCCAATCCAAAGGGGTTTGTTTCACGCCATCACGATTGAGAAGACCACCCGGCTCGCCCGCGGCGCGTGTGAAGAGGTGCTCGAGTATTTCGCGTTCGTAATTGTAAAAGGTGTAGGCCTCGGGGATCTCCAGGAGCAGCTTTCGATTCTTCTCGAGCGCGTCTATGGAGAATTCTTTGGCGTGGTAGCTCGCCATTTGCGCCTCGTAAAGCTCGCCCTTGATTCGTTCCTCCTCCTTACGAGCCTTTTTCACCTCATCCGTTTCCTTTTGTTTCAGTTTTGGTTGATCATGCATTCTTTTTTTTATATAATTGAAAAGTGCTATGCTTTTGGACTGGATACAACGGTTTCGATAGATAAATGCTCTTTAATAGAAGGTAATTCATTGTTATAGAGGGGGGCATAAAAAAAACAACAACTAGAAGGAGCAGCAATACGACGAAGTACTTTTTTCATTTAGGCTTTGGAAATGGCATTTTTTATCTTTCAACCAAATGAGAGCTTAGCACAGAACGCGCACATTTAGGTTTAAGATCCAATTTTTTTTTAGTGAAAACCTTCATGCGCTATTTTTATAAGAAGTTTACACACACCAGAACGACAATGATATTTCCCCAGAAAGGGTTACCACATTTGTATAATAATTTTTTTTAAATGTTCCGATCCATAATATGTGAAACCAAAAATGACAAAAACGAAGAGGCAAGACATTTTATTTGGAAAGTGGGAAAATACATTTCCTATGCTATTGTCTCGCTTCCCCCCTTTACACTCCTGTTAGCGAATATAATCTTCACCATTATTTCCCTTTCCCTCTGCAACCTTTTAAGTAGAATATTATAAGTATATGCAACCAAACATCTGTCCACTTCGTCCATCACCCTCTTCTTGAAGATAAAGTTTTTTTTTTGCGACTTCTTTTTTTTAAGACATCCCCCCTTCCCGACAAAAAAAGAAAACAAAACAAAACACTTCCCCCCCAAAAAAATATAAATAAATAATAATAATAATAAATCTCCTCGCGTCAAACCCACACGCACCTTCCTTCCCCCCCCCCTCCCCCCCCCTATGGTTGATGTGTGATATCCCATGTGTTTTTCCCCTATCGCGAGGTGGGGAGGGGAGGAGGGGGGGAGTTTATCCTCCCGCCTTTTCTCTTCGATTATCCATGGCGACGGCTCAACCACCCCACCGTGAGGCTCTGTGAGGCCAACCCAATGGAGAGGATCCACAGCGAAGGGGAGAGCGGCACGGTGCCGAAGAACTCCCCCCCGAACTGCACGATCCCCACCTGCGTGAAAGCCACCCCTACCACCACCCCCAACAGCATTTGACTCGCCTGCCAATCCCCAAAAAACCTCTCATTCGCGCGAATCAACCGCGCGTTGAAGAAGTTAAACACCTGCATCCAAATAAAGGTGTTAAACATCAACGTGTTATGCGTCTTCGCGGACCACGCGGCCCCCCCCCCCCTCCTAAGGGCGGGCTCGTCCAACACCTCCAGACGATCCCCCCATGACGGGGCCTCGCAAAAGCGAGATCCCCAACCCATCAGGAAGAGCTGCACGACGATTTGAAACGCGCTTTGCCAGGCGATTCGAACCCACATGGTGGGGAGAATCATCGGCGCCGTCCGCCGCTCCGGCGGGCGCGAAAGCAGCACCGCCTCGTTTGGCAACCCCGTCGCGAGCGCGAGGGCCGCGAAGGTATCCATGATGAGATTCAACCACAAAAGCTGCACCGGTTTGAGCAGCGAGCCGGGGTGGTTCCCCCCCCCGAGGGCGCCCGCCACGACGACGACGCACGTCGCGATATTCGCGGCCATCTGAAATTGCAAGAATTTTCGAATATTATCCCGGATGTTTCGCCCCCACATCGTCGCCCGGACCATGCCGACGAAGTTGTTATCCAACAACACGATATCCGACGCGCTTTTCGCGACGTCGCTGCCGGAGTTCATCGCGAACCCGACGTCGCTGAGTTTCAACGCCGGCGCGTCGTTGGTGCCGTCGCCGGTCATCGCGACGACGGCGAAGGGATCCCACGCGTGGAGGAGCAACACCAGCCGTTTTTTATCCAACGGCGTCGCCCGCGCGAGGATCACGAGGTGGGGGATGAACCCCTCCAAAAGCTCGTGATCGGAGAGGGATTGAAAGGTCGGGCCATCCAACACAAGGCGACACGCCACCAGCTGCTCCAACGTCTCCACCGGCGATTCCCCCCCCCCCTCCCTCCTCCTCCCCCCCATCCAGGGGGGTTCCCCCCGATCACCACCGACGCCGATTCCTCGCCGAAAGTCGACCCCGGTGGGATGGAAAGGGTGGGGGTGAATCGGGCCTCCCCCCCGCCGCCGCGTTTTTCGCGATCGCCCTTTTCCCCCCTCTCTCCCCCTCCTACGGGGAGATCCGATTCCTCGCGGAGGAGTCCGCAGCGGCGGGCGATGTTTACCGCGGTGAGGGGGGCATCCCCGGTGATCATCAGCACCCGCAACCCCGCGGCGAGGCAGCGCCGTACCGCCCCGCGCACCTCCGCCCGCACCGCCTCCTCCAACGCGACGATCGCGAGGAAGCAAAACGCCGGTTCGGATTGAACT